TGGAGGAGAGATGCGAGTTCCGTTGTGCTCATCATGGGACCTTTCTTGTTCGCTCGGAGAGGATGCGGCGGAAGAGGTACAGACTCATTTGGAGGGGCTGGAGCTGGCTCCTCCTGTACTAAGGGCGTTGCGGCTGATTGCTTCTTGGATCGCTTCGGTGGCCGCTTAGGGAAACCGCCGGTTGAGAGTGGGACTTTGCGAGGCGAAGTTGATGACGCGCGTGATTGTGTTTCAGAGGCTTCAGTACGCGCTGGCGAGACGTCTCGCGATGCTGATATCGGTGGATCAAGGACGGGTACAGGTGGCGATGGGGCTTTGCGCGTTGACGCAGATTTATCCACACTGTTGTTTCTTGGCCGTGATTTTCGGACAGTCTTGTCTGGTGGAGGAGATTTTGACTTTGTAGCTTGACGTTTAGGTGGCGGTTCAATCGGTGTCTTGTCCGCCAGTTTCTTGGTAGTGGTAGGCTTGGGTCCGGAGCATGTCTCTGAAGGAGAGAATACGGACTGAGGCTGAGGTGGAGACGAGGGAATTATTAGTTGCTGGTCCATGAGGCCATGTATAACTTCTGGATCTTCGAGAATACTCGGTGATGGGACTGGGGGAGATCTGGAGACTCTGGCTCTCTTTGGTGGGAGACTGTCACCATCCTGTGCCTCTGTATTTCTTCGCTTGGCTTTAGCCACCCGTTTCGACGCTGCAGAGGCGACCTCTTGTTGCGGATTACTGTTCTGTGATATTGCAGGTGATGGCTCCTTGCTCGTGACGCGTGATACCGGTCGAGCTCTGACATTGGAACTGGTCGCTCTGGCCTCACTAGCTGCCCTTATGGTCTTCGGAGGCAGCGACTGACACAGCAAGGTTCCGCGCTTTACGCCCGCCGACAATCGAAGAGATTTTGCTTTGCGATTAGGAGGAGGCGAAGGTGGTGGCGGAGTGGGGCCTTTGGGTGGCTGCTTTGTTGGTTGTAACGCGAAGTCGACGTTCGTCAGGCGATTTGAGGCGCTCACTGGAGGTGAAGATGGTGGCGCTCGTTGCTTCGGAGTCTCCAACGCTCGTACACTGGGTACTGGCACCTTGCCTTTCGGTATTCTTGGGGTTTGTACGGGTGGCTGCTGAGGTACAGCGGGCTGTGGTGCTGGGGTATGAAGTGCGCTCGATCGTGCTCTTGCTCTGGCAAGTTTCGGGGGTGTGCTTGGGAGAGTGACGTCGGACAAGTCCGCCGGATGAGGATCGGACTCGGACTCTATCGTGATGACAGTCGCTGTAGGCGGTATGAACTTGGCAGGTTTCCGAGCATTCGCTGTGTCGGACGGTTGTACCTGTACAGCCGAATCTCTCTTCGCTATGGGGCTGTCTTCTTGGACTGGGCTAGATGCTCTCCAGTTTGTGCGTGGCTGGCTAGTCTTTTGTCTCTTCGGGGTGGGTTCCTCGACCAGCTCGTTCTCCTTTTCCTTGCGAGCCTCATACGGAGATTTCATGGGCTGAGCCTTTCCAATGGGCCCTTTTGGTGTCCCAAGCAGTGTATTGAGCGATTTGTGGCGCAGTTGGGATGCACTTCGCTGGGCATTGGTTGGTGCCACTGACGATGGTCTCTGGAACGGTTTCGGCTGGGAAGGAGCGGTCGGGCGGGGTGGCTGATCTTTCGTTTTCTTCTCAAGTAGTTGGGTCAGGTCGGTATGTGTGATGCCCATGGCCTCGGCGACCTCTACTAGAGCGCCATTGTTCAGGCTGAGTTCATCTCCCTCCTGCAGCTCGTTGCTGTCTTTATGATAGGTATCTCCCAGAAAGTTCCTTGCCTGGTCATATACCATGACCCGGCTGTTGAAGGTATGGAACTTGAGATAGCCATCCTGCCACCGCTTTTGCTTCCTCTTGACGTCTTGTGTGTAGAGGCAACGGAATTCTGCCACAGGCGCGCTATTCTGGGATGCAGTGATGGCAGCTATGGCCGACGCATGCTGAGTATTACGAAGGGGTGCCGTCATCGCGTATGCATTCGGTCGAGACGCGTCGGGAGGCGCATGGGCGGCATAGGGCGGGGTCGTCGTGAGGGTGAAGGTCGAGAGATGTGACGGTGACGCGCCTCGGCGGAACAAACCGCGCCTGCTGTTCCGCGCGCGAGCACGTGGTTTAGCGCCTGCAGACTACGGCAGCGGCTACCCAGCCCTAAGACCCTAATGCCTTCCAAGGTTGAGCTTTCACCGGAAATACACCAGGGGTACGCGTTTCCCAAGCTTTTCCACTTCAGTCATGACACGTCTTCGTACCCGGCGGCCCAACGCTGGGTGGCCTTGTACCATGATGCCGTCCGGTCCACAGCTGACGGTACCAAACGCGGGCATCAGGTGTAACCGCAATCTTGAATCCGCTTCCCGCGTCTAGGAGGGGACCTAGCAAATCACTCCTCCCCGCGAGGCTTTCACACTCCACTTTAGACAACTAATCGGTCTAAGCGGCCAGCGAATTGTCGCGACAACCTGGTGCGGGGCCCTTCGGTACCCCTGCTTACTCTCACCTCGATTAACACACAGCAGTGAGCACAGCCACCGCTAGTCGACGCGCAAGCATTACCTACTGCCCTCCGCCCATAACTCGTATTATTCTGTCCTTCTTACCTCAGGCCTGCGTCGCACACGATAGCTGCCATCACATCGCAAGATGCAGCGCATGCAGAGGATTACCGGGCGTTTCCTTACGAGGACGCCCAACGAGGCCGATGTCGAAGCCATGCTGAAGGACTTCACCGACTCGCAGGTTATGTTGGAAAAGGTACGTCCGGTGTGGCTTAACATCTCACATTGCTCGGTCCTATGAACTAGTGGGGCCAGCCATCCAAACCCATCACATCCAGTTCCAACCACCCACGTCAATCGACTGCTATGCATGCTATGCGTGGCACACGAGTCGAGTATACACGTTGGCATTGAATCTCCAACTAACCCCCCTCTCAGCTCGAAGCGTCAGCGAAGCAATGGCGGGACGCGTGGACCAACATCCTCAACCACCAACTCACGTCGGTCGAGCTCATATACGCCATCTTCAAACCGCTCGGCGGCGAAGGCTCCAACACCACCCATGCCCATGCCGAAACCCCACCTGCCGTCCTGGAGCGTGTCCATGGCCTACACGAGGCCTTTTCCGAGCTGAAGACCGACATGATGGAGGAAGTCAAGGACATTGACAGGAAATTGGTCATCCCAGCGAAGCTGGCTCGCGACGCCTTGAAGCCCATGGAGAAGGCTATCAAGAAGCGAGAGGATGCAAAGGTCAGTCAGTCTATAGACCACGCTGTGAGCCATGCTGACCACGCCATTGCAGGTCGACTACGAGCGCTACAAAAGCCGCTGCGAAACCCTTCAGGCTAAGAAGACACGCTCAGAACGCGAGAACAGCGCTCTTGCCAAACACGAAGTCGATCTCGAGCGCTCCACACACGCATACCAACTCGCCGACGAGAACCTCCGAGACCGCCTGCCACGCCTGAATGCCGCAACCTTCTCCATTCTACCACATCTCCTCGCGAACCAGATCGTGCTGCAAAACAACCTGATTGGAAACTTGTACACTGTACTACACCAGTACTCACACGAGCAAGGATACCCCGATCCACCACCAGAGCCAGAGGAAGTTATCCCACTATGGGACTCCAACTTTACACCACTGCGCCAGGAAATGGAGACCAGCCTGGGCCTGCTGAAGACGGGCAAGGCGGTCCATTTGCCAATGAGACTACCAGATAAGGGAGAGACGTTGACAGGCTTGGGCATTAGGAACAAGGTCATGCCTGGTCGGAGGGTCAGCAGCAGCGACAGTGTGCCCACCATCACAGGAGGCGGAAGACCCCCGCGACCATCCCAGACCTTGTCATCGACCTCCGAGAATGGCCCGCCCATAAGCCTCTCTAATAAGCCCTCATACAGCTCTCTCAGCGCCTCAAAGCCCAAGATCGGCGGCTCACCGCATCTGAGCGCTGGGCAGGGTATGTATGATCGCCGTCTCTCGTCTACATCACAGGCTTCCTCTTACTCAAATGGGACCAACGGTGATTCTTACTTCAACAACAACAAGATATCCTCTGCCTCGAACGGGTCAACTCCAACCGGCTATCCCTCGTCACCTAACCCGGCCGCAGGGAAGAAGAAGCCGCCCCCACCGCCACCGAAGAAGATAGCATCTTTCCAGTACGAGTACGTGACAGCCATGTACGATTTTGACAGTCTCACGGATGGCGATCTGCATTTCAAAGAAGGCGACCGAATTCGCGTGATCAAGAAGACGCAAAGCTCACAGGACTGGTGGCAGGGTGAAGTTAATGGAAAGCAGGGCAGCTTTCCTGCAAACTACTGCAAGTGATTTGGTCAATGCGATGAGATGGGAGGGCTTCAATGATATCCAAAACTGCATTAGAAGGTGGCGTTACGGTAATTTGGCACTCTTGACGGCATCACAAGCAGAACGATTAGGAAGAAACTTGGGCAATTCAAATTGAGTAGCTTTTGTTTTCCTGTACAAACTGGGGTTGCATCCGGACTTTGATAGCAGGAGTATGATGGCGTGTAATCCACTCCATGCCATACTCAGGCTTGATACGTGATATGGATGAGACACAATGAATCGAGTGAGGTTGACAACCAGACCGCGCCTTCCAAGGTTCTCTCATGGTGGTGGCTCGGTACCTGTTCGCTACTATTAATAGTGTTGACGAAGCCGCTCACCAATGGGACCCCCAGGGCACATCTGCGTCTGTGAGCCAAACTTCAGCTCGAGGCAGTCTAGCCCCCGCCTCCAGCCCCCACATTGCTGTCCGTAGCTCCCGCGCGCCGTCGAGAAGGCGCAGTTGCTGCTTCCCTGCGTCATGAGGTGCCTGCCTGCTGCGCGCAGGTGTGCCTGCATCTATGAGCCTCGTGCGACAGCCGCAGCAGGCTTGTCGGCGTCAAGCGTCATATAGAGCACCGCGCCGCACTCCACTCATACCATAACCCACTATCCTATCGCTAATGGACAGTATGGCTGATAAGATCACAATACAGACGGTAGGTGGAGCCTGACAGCATTGGTATGCGCTGAGCGAATGCTTACAAGTACCAGAACAGCGCCTTGACACCGCCCTTCTCTCCCCGTCCCATCCCACCCCCAACCGCCACCGCTGCCACACTTAGTAGTCCCACATCGCCATCCGAGAACACGCATCAGAATGGGCATGTCAATACCAGCCTAGGTCGGACCACGACAGGCCCGCAACCGCGTGAGCCCGTGCTCGACTCGGTCATAGCAATACCGCTCACGGCGGAAGAGTCCCTCCCCACCATAAGCGGCAAGAACAACGAAGCATACCTCACCAACGACGACCCCCGTCAGTTCCTCTTATACGACCTCGATCTCTCTCGCTTGAACCGCATACATGGACACCTATGGATGGCAGGCCGGCCCATGCGCGCCAGGCCATTGCATAGATACACGATGCTGGGCATGGAAGTGCTAGGCACGCAACAAATGGATCTACATCTGCTGAAGTACTCGACGAAGCTTATAGTCAAGCCGTTGCCGGAATGGATGCTCAGCTATGAGTTCTGGCAAGAGTATATCTGCAAGCCTGCGGATGCGGATCCTGGTGACGAGACAGCAAAAGGCCTGTGGGAGAGTGCCGCGGGGTTTCTGGTGAGCTATGTGTGGCTTATCACTACACCGCTGGACTTGAAGATCGCGCACGAGAACACGCTTCTACCGAGCTTTGTCACCTGGCACTGGTGGAAAGCTTTCGTGAAAGATTTCATGGGCCATGTGGACATCAACACGCTACAGAAAGTCAACAAACGCTACCATTTCGGTGATCTTAGGCTGGGGAGGATCAACAGCATTTATCGGACACGATTTGCGCATACGCATTTCGTGAGAGGGTATCTGTGAGTCAATCTTTTGTCCATTGAAAGCAAACGCTGGGGTAGATGTGTCTGCTAACACACCTCAAACAGCTACGGATACAATCGCTACGTAATCTTCTTCCAGCGAAACTTCTCCTGGATCCTCATCGTGTTCGTGTTCTTTAGTCTGGTTCTATCAGCCATGCAAGTTGGAGTGGGTCTGGAGGAACTCAAAGATAATCACCATTTCCTTGATGCCACTTATTACTTCGTTGTTTTCAGCATGGTACGTACTCACATCGCACGAGATGGAACGTTGTGGTAGCTGACTCTCTTGAGATATCCGTGGTCGTCGTACTGGCATTCGTTACAATCGTCTTTATCGGCATCTTTCTCTTCAACATGTACAAGGCTATCACGCATGCGGGGAGTACACAGAAGTGGAGACTTAAGATGTTTCGGAGGAATCAGGAGGAGGGTAAGGATGCTTGATATGCGTCGCGATGAGATTCCCATGATTGACGGCATTCATTTCTTGATACCCAATACTTATTAAATCAGTATTTCAATCCAATCCAACCATCCATACCAAAATTCCCCATTCTAACTCTCCTCATCCCGTTCCTTCTCCTTTTCCAGAGCCATAGGCTCCACATCCTCTTTTCGTTTCGCAGCCCGAAACATACCACCATGATACCACAACGCCAACACTGCAGCCATCGCCGACAAAGCCGACGGCACAACCATCGCCACTTTCAAAACCATACTGTACTGCCCCTCGGGCGCGCCTACCACTTTACTAACTGCCATTCCAATACCCGCAAGACTGTTAACAAACGCAGGAAAGAAAACCCAGTTTATCAACCACTGAACCTTCCTCTGGTATTTCTGCCATAGATTCAACCAGCCTAGTAGACCTACGCAGCAGGCTAGGGCACAGAGATAAAATGAACCCGAGATCTGTATGGCTGTGGGTGGTAGATCATCATACACTTCAGGACAGTCCCAGTATTCCTCATATTCTATGCATCCGGCGTATTCGTCAATGGTGTTTAGCTGTGGGAAGAACGATGGGAGGAGGATGTAGCCGAGGAGGGTACACCAGGAGAAGATCTGCGCAAGGAGTCTGTCGGTGTAGGAAACGCTGTCATTGTAGGATGCGGGTTTCAAGAAGGATCGCAGGCTAAAGGGCATGGTGTTGTGGCGTGGGTCTCGCTGCTGTGATCTACGCGTTGGGTTTTCGCGTTCGGTGCTGATGAAACTTGGGTTGGGTATTACGTCATCGCTTGGGCGCGCGACGAGGCGAGGCGGCGCTCGCGCGTTGTGTCTACCTCGACGAATTCTGTGCTCACGGCACGGTTCTTGGTGTTTGCATCAACCTTTCCTTCGCGGCGGAAAAATCGCTTTTGGTACTGGTGAGGCCTGGGATGGATAGCGCGTCATCGTTTTGACCCTTCTCGGCGCACGAGGAGGGCGGCGCTCGCGCGTTGTGTCTGCCCCAACTGTAAGGCGATCCAAACCATCACACCAACGATCTCTGTGCCTACGGCACGGTTTCCTGGTGCATCAATCACATTGACCTTTCCTTCGCGATGGAAGAATTGCTTTTGAAACGACGAAGCACGAGAGTGTTGTTGGGCATGTTTCGAGTACCTGTAATGCTGCGGCGTGATGATGCTACGACGTCGGGACGTCTTCACAACTGATCACCATCACAAGGCGAATGGAAACTGAACGGCAGCTGATGTGGCCGCTACTAAATGTCTGCGAAGTCAGAGGCATTTGAGAGGAAGAAGAAGAAGAAGAAGGAGATGTATAAGAAGACCTTTAAAGCACAACATGATTGCGACGCCAGCCCGATTGTCACACCATCTGGCTGCGAGATTATAGGTCTGAGAAAGCGATCTCATTCACGTTCTGGAAACACGAAAAGACGTTGAGGCCGGCAGAACAGGAAAGATCTTCACAAATAACGGTCAAATGTCTGCATATCACAGCCTCGCCATTGAGCCATATCCTTTCCGGCGCGGAGCAACCGTATACTAGCACTCACAAGATACAGCCTCGCATAGTATCGGCAACACGCCATCGGGTTCGGCTTCGATCCTTCGGTTTCGGCGCCATCCATTCACATACCGCCCAACGAAAATCCCTGTCTTATCCTATATACCCATGTCGTTCCAAACGACTTCTGTGACTGCAGGTCCCGCCATGCAGACATACTGATTATTTCCGCCTATATTGCCAGCCGAGCAGTCGGGTGTGCCAGTGTGGTATGATCGCAGCAATCAGGTACCTTTGCCACAAGGAGGGTAAGACGGACGTGTTATCGGGTCCGTCTTACCAGTTGGTATACACCCAAGCGATGGCCTCGAATTTGTAATCGCTACATAATAGCTTTTATCTGATCCTTTTCTCTCTGCGTAGTTGTCGTCGACTGCTTCATGGTGTATTCGCCATTTCTCCTCCATCATGGCTAACAGCGTTGCTCCAGAGGCTGTAATTGTATGTTTCATGTACTTCCTTTTCTGACATGACTCTGCTAACGTATCTGCAAAGCCCATCGAGGCGACCCTGATGGCCTTGGCCATATTCTTGGCTTCTGGTCGACTGGTTCCCCGCCTTTTACAACGACAGTATCCTACTGTTAGCGACAGTCTCCTGATAGCGTCTATCCTGGATGCCATTGGCCTTTTCGTCACCGACTACCTGACGTACATATGGGGTGGCATGACGGATGATGCAGAGGCATCGACAGCTCGTGTGATCGCTCTCAAGAAGGTGCAATTCGCCGGCAATGCATTCTACGACACTGGCATCTATTGGCCAAAGTTGGCAATCCTCGCGCTATACTATAGGCTCATCCCTCCGACGATGCCGTGGTTGCGAAAAGCACTCTACGCAGTGACTCTTTTCACTGCAAGTGCCATGGTGTCGACATTCTTTCTCGACACTTTCTGGTGCGGGCGCCAGGTCTCTTCGAATTGGTCCCCTGATGAGGCAGCCTGTAATACCTTCAGCTCCAAAGAGGTTTTCAGGATCGACTGGAGCCTTAATATCACCTCCGACGTGTTCAGTGAGCAATCCCGTATCATCCAGAGAGCGCATGAATCACTAACGTCGGACCAACAGTCTTCGCGTTGCCATTTCCTCTACTTCGTTCACTACAGCTCCGGCGTCGCCAGATTTGGGGTCTTGTAGCGACATTCTCACTTGGTATCGTCACGATAGCAATGAGTGTACTTCGGTTCGCAACGATAGAGGTCATATATGCCTGGACCAACGTCTGTAAGTGCATGCAGCCAAACACAACTTGAATTGTCGCTAACACATGTATAGACGTCCTTTCCATGACCGAAATGGCCGTCGCCATCATGGTAGTCTCGTTGCCGTCGATGAGATCTTTCCTACGACGCGGCAGCCTCTTCTCCTCGAACAAGAAATCGCACTCTTCTGGGTCTCGCACATATGGACACCAGACACCAGCATCCGGGTCGCACAACTTTTTGCGTCCTTCCAGAAGAGGCAAGCACACCGCCCGCGTGCATACTGATGAAGACTCGGGCAGCGAAGTAGAGCTGAACACCATGTCAAGGAAAGATGTCATCTACGAGACGCGCCGCGTTAGCGTGCAGTTTTCCAAGTCGCCTGATGAGGAACACGAGATTTCTGCCAAGTACCCATGAGGGTGGTTCAGGAGTCAATTCCATTGAGATGTAGCTAGTCGCTAATAGCAGCAAAAGCAAAATTTATTCGAAGGATTGAACAAAATCTGTCTGTACGAGGTTTAGCAGCCGGGTCATCTCAACATTGTAGTGCTACTTAATAGACCCTTGCCGTTGGGTTAACCACTCGCATCAACCCGGAATGATTGCGCTACCATCCCGCCCACTGCGGTCCGCACACGCCACCAAAACGCCGCCGAGCGGTATATTCTTCCAGCCGAGCCGCAATAGTCCATGGCTCCGTGTCTCAATGGTTTTCAATCACCTTTGCAAATACTCTTGACTGTGCCGCATGGCTGCCGTTGAAGCTGTGGATCGGCATTGGCCGAAGGGTCTGCATGCGGGAGGCCTCGTTTGGCAAAATTCATCCACCGGTTCGCCTAACCGAACACCAAAGGAAGCTACGATGCTTGACCAAGCTTATCAGCAGCGAAGGGCCGAACAAAACATAACCACGAATTAGAGGTTACACAGCCTTGATGCTCAATCAGATATCCGTTGCACAACCCAGGAAATAAGAACTCACACGCTCGTCCCATGCGCCTGAAAAGCTCCTCCCACCATGGACCGAACCCACCGACACGGTACAGCCGTGTGTAAAGCGCAAGGATCACAGTTGGAATCAGCCCATCTAACACGGCAGCCAGAACGCCTCTATTCCAGGCAAACTTCCGCGCGCCTGCATGCAGGGCTCACCCATTGCCATGCGATTCGACAATTCGAGGACAGAAGTCCGACCCCAGTTTCGCATGATAGGCGGTAGAATTCTTCGCCCAGACATACCTTCAGAAGCTATGGTATAATGGATACGCGGCAGAATATAGTACCCCGCATGCTATGGGAATTGGCTCAATATACATACTCCTTGCAGTACGCCGATGAAGCGAAGTGCGGCGCAACTATCTATCCAACGGCTTTTATCCTGACTGTTTCGTGACTGCGCTCTGTCACACCACAGGCAGCGAAGATGGCACACTACATTGATGGGAAAGACTGCATGGTAAGTCAGTTGGTGATACAACAAGCGGATCTTCAAAGAGGAAACACGGTGCTGACTTGTCACAATGTGATAGATCTCAGAATGGATCCTCCTGATCTTCGCATACTGTTTCGTTGCGGCGCGCATGTACACGCGTTTGTTTCGTCTGCGCTCGAGGTTGGACGCGTCAGATTATCTGTTGTTGGCTTCTGCGCTGGTTGCGTTGGGGTTGATTATTTGCGATACGCTCACGTATCAGATGGGTGTTCTGGATGAGTATGAGACGTCGGAGAAGCTGTCTAAGGTGAGTTGTTCTTTTGATCGTCACACTCAGTGCGCGTCTAACACGTTGTGCAGATCTCATTCGCCTCGAACTACTTCTACGATGTCGGCATGGGCTTCCCCAAACTCAGCATGCTGGCTTTCTACTGGGCGTTTTTCAACCTCGCCGGTCACCCGGGACTGCGCAAGATGCTTTTCGGTATCACAGCCTTTGTCGTCGCGAGCTACCTGACTATCCTCTTCGACGACACGTTCTTCTGTGGCACACCGGTATCCGTGCAGTGGTCTCAGGAAGAGGGCGCTTGCTCCGTTTTCTACGCGCCAGAGCCGTTCATCTTGAACTTTACTCTCAACTTGGCTTGCTACCTCGCGGTCTACGCCGTTCCTGTTGTACTTCTGGTGAAGGGAGTGTTGAGGTCTTCGGCTGGTGTTGGTCTTACATTCGCGCTCGGTGCGCTCACTATTGCTTCGAGCATTGTGCGCTTCGCCTGCCTCAAAATTGGAACAGGACAGGAAAACCTCGTTTGTAAGTTCGCCATCCTGTGTGCTACATTTTCTGTACGCGACAACCAGGCTAACATTGTCTCTTCCAGATCCTTTAAGTATGGTGGAGATGACTCTTTCGATCATTGTCGTCGCGCTGCCGGGACTCAAGCCACTCGCGAGAAACAATAAAGTCTAGATACATACTAGACGGGGTGTTCAGTTTGAAGGAAGAGTATATGCGATTACCAAACATAGATCTGGGCGGGAAAAGACTTCCCTTTAACTTGAATGCTCGTAATAGATTTCTTGGGTGGCTATGTACTCAATCTACTTGTGATATGCTAATGCGATGATTGGCGGCCTGTGTAAGGCTGTGAGACAAGCTTTTAGCGGGGTCGAATACCAGTCATCCTCTGCCCAGGCCTGCCTCCTAGCGCACTGCTGCCTTCCATCTCGACAGACGCGAACTCAACCGCACTACCACCGCACTGCAATCACTAGACTCCTACAATATTCCAAAGCCACTCCTACAGATACGCATACGGTTGAGTTTTTGGCAACAGTGCCCCCCGAGAAACGACATCATCGCGGCCTAGCTAGGCTCAGGCGTCTTATCTCCTAGGTGCCGTTCGCTCAGCCCTGTCAAGGCAACCACAAATTACGATGGATGCTACGTGCAGCGAACCAACCTCGTCAATCTACGCCGAAAGACTACTCTCTGGAACCCAAATTCGTGTTCTTCATATCCAACCTTCACCTGAAAGAGACCGACAAGTGGAGTGTACACTCAAGCTTATCAGCCTCGACGACGCACCTGTCTACGAAGCCTTATCGTACGTTTGGGGGACTGATCCACCCAGCGTCCCGATCTTATGCAACGGCCAACGTCTCAAAATTCGACCGGAACTTGCGTATGCTCTCCTAAGGCTAAGGCTGAAGCACACCGCGCGGATTATCTGGGCCGACGCTCTTTGCATTAATCAGGACGACAACCAAGAAAAGAGCCATCAAGTTCCCTTGATGAGCAAGGTCTTCTCGCAGGCAACAACGGTCAATGTTTGGCTCGGTCACGGCGATGAGAGCTTCATCAGAGAAGCGTTTCGGTGTTGCAAGTTGATTGCGGATGCATGCTGGGAGTTCAGCTTGGAACATGATATGGATCTGGACGATGATGAAACCCATGGAGCAGTAGAAGTCCCAATGACCATCTTCACACCTATTGTATGCAGGAGTCTGACAGATCTGTTCGAGCGCCCGCTGTTCTCAAGAGTTTGGTGCATACAGGAAATCAAGTTAGCGCAAGATGCACTAGTAGTTTGGGGCGAGCAATACTTACCCTGGGCGGAGGTCGGTCTGACAGCGTTATGGATTTTCAACAAGAGAATGTTGATGGACGACAGCAACGATACCTCAGGAACCGCACTAAAAGATGCCCATGTAGGAAACGCAGACATCATTTACAAGTGGGACGCTATTAGCAGTTCATTTCTCGAAACATTATCAGAGTTCCGCGATTTCCAATCGACTGATCCGAGGGACAAAGTGTATGGCCTGATCGGTCTTATTGGATCTGAGGCAGACGGTGGTTCAATGGTGCCAGACTACGAGAAGAGTGCTGCTCGTATTTTCACCGAGACAGCATTACATACCATCACTAGGACTAAGCACCTACTAGTCTTTTCGCACGTAGAACACCAGGCAGATTACGATGGAGATGACGAGTACCGGTCATGGGCACCACGCTGGGACATTCCTAATCCCGTTGTTCGGATAAGCAGCCCATTTGTGATTCCTGGACATGGCGCCTGTAGCGGACGCGAAGCCCAGATCGTCGTTACAGAAAGTCCTAGCGGCGAGCAAATATGTCTCACCGGTATCTTTCACGCCAAAGCGACCGCAGTCGATAGCACATTCGACATATCTCCTGACTCGAAGTCTAATGAGCTCCAAATGCATCCCCAAGTCGTTAAGGTATACGAAGGGATCGATTGGAATAACCCCATGAGCGATATAACTTTGCCAGTGCTAGCTCGGACACTAACTACTGGTGCTAGCACGACATATTCTCGTCTCAACATGCTTAATGATGAGTTACGTTGCGCCCACTACGAAGCATTCAGACGCTACATTGAATGGTGCCGTGATCCAACGACGGACTTTGACAGCTTGCGTGGCGACGCACTTCGATACCACGAAATGTTTCTTAGTTGTAGCGGACACCGTCGCTTCTTTTGGACATCGGAAAACGACTACGGCATGGGCCCAGCGTGTATGCGTGAGGGAGATATCGTCGTGGTGCTCTATGGGGGTAGTGTGCCGTTCGTATTGCGACCGAAAGGCGACAAATACCTCATGCTAGGCGAAGCCTATGTCGACAGCATCATGAACGGCGAGCTCGTAAGGGAAGTCGAAGAAGGGAAACGACAAGAGCAAAAATTCTGTCTCATCTAGACAAGCGGAGTTACTTAGCCCTTCTGCACGTGCAGCCGCTTCATCTTCGGCGACAATCATCTCCACGCTTTCCCCACACTCCAACCTCCACGCCTCCGCCATTCTGAGGCACAAGCATCAAGCCACGGAAAGAATTGCACTGGGCGGATTCTCGGCGAACCTTATGCCGATCACCATTGCAGCGTTCCTCCACCGTGTTCTTTTAATCTATCGCGTTCCTGTCGCGTCGCTAACAACCCTGGCCCTTAATATGGAAAGCGGAACATCAACGCGGAGACGTCATGGGACCTCGCGCGAAGTGAAAAGGACAGAACGCAAGAAAAATGGATGATGGAATATATAGCTGGAACTGGACTTCGATACGCTGTGGACTCTACACACGATTAGCACACCATAACCTTCGCGACTGCATCCTCATATCGTCTGGCACCACTCCACTTTCACATATACAAATCCCACCTACTTCAACATGCGATTCTTCTCGCTCCTACCCCCAGCGCTCCTCGCAACAACCACCTACGCCAACTCAGACGCCTCACCCCCATCCTCCACACCCGCCGCCGACGAACCCACGCCCGTAGGCGCCCTCTGGACCGCCCAATGGGACGCCACAACCCTAAAACCCTACACCCAACACTGCCACTCCAAATCCACCTACACCGCCAAAATCTACAAGCTCAACGAACTCTACCCAGACCTAAAAGACGCCGCCCCGCAACTAAAAGTCTTCTACAACAAGCAACTCTACGCGGGGTCTTGGGGCGGCATCGACGTCCACGGCACCGGCCGCGAACTCATACAGATGAACATGGCAGACATGCCGTATAAAGTGCGGGAGTGGCTGAAGACCGAGATGCTGCAGAGGCATTATAGTGTGCAGGATGATATGGTGTTTTTTGCGCCGGGCGCAATTTACCCGATTCTGCCGTTGTGGGTTGATGATGGGGAGGGGGAGGGGTGTGAGGGTGTGTTTGATGGGTTGGAGACCTACTCGAATGAGCCGAGGGATGGGGCGGTGATTGGGAAGGTCGGGCATACGAATACGGGGGAGAAGGAGGTTAGGTTTACGGTGGAGGCGTTGAAGGTTAAGGCGAAGAGTGAGAGGAATGAGTTGTAGGAAGTGAGATGGTGGTGGGACTTTGCTTTCATATTGTTTTAGTGTTTGACTCTAAGAGTTCGATCATGGTGTTCGTTCCTGTTTAACAATCCATCGCTATGGGGTATCATTAAATCAATTCCATAGATTCAACGCCGTGCAAAGCACTTTATATCCCGTGTGGTGACGAGGCGATGCCTCTACCAGTAATTGACGACATTGAACATGTGTCCTTCACTCTTCGCAGGACAGTCCTTCGCTTTGTGTCCTACCTCTTTGCACACATAGCAAGCCAATGGGCCTTTCACCTTCGGCTTCTTGGCTGGCTTGCTTGTCTGCTCGGAAAAAGACACGTTTGAGGTACCGTTGGTGGGAGGCAGAATGGAGGGTTGATCAATCAAAGTAGGGACGCTATTGACACCTTGGCCCCCCGGAGGCGCTGGACGTAAAGCTTTCTTCTTTGGCGCTCTGATTGGTTTAGCAGGCTTTTGAGGAGCCGCGGCGTCCATGGAAGGTGCAGTGGTCTCGCGGGTCACAGGAGTGGTGTTGTTCGTAACCTCTTTTGCCTTGGATTTACGAGGGACCGGAAGCTTGACCACAACCTTTGCGGGTGCAGGTGTTGGTGGCGGCGGTTTACTAGTCACCTCAATCTTCGGCGCAGGCCCTGTACCAGCGTGAGGTTGGGGTTTATTATCGGCGGTGGCTTCGACAGGCTTCATGGAACAGTCGCGGGCGAAATGGCCTTGCTCGTTACAGGTGTAGCAGGTGGCTGGTGGACGAGTCGCTTTCTTCTTGGTCTTCTTGGAAATTGCTGAATCGGTGGCGACCAAGGGCTCGACGGGCGGCGTGTTCGTTAAGGAGGGTTCCGACACCTGCTCTACGTTCTCGTACCCGTTCGCATTGCCTGCTTCTGCGAAGGTTTGGGCTTGTTGTTCTGCAGCAGCCTTTGCGTCACGCTCTGCCATTTCCCTGTTTAGACGCTCGACCGTCTCCTTGGTGACACGTTCTATAGTCTCCCTAGTAACACGCTCCACTGTCTCTCTAGCCACGCGCTCTAACATTTCCCTGGCTTCGCGCTCTGCGGTCTCTTTTGCTTCCAGTTCGGCGCGAAAGTTGGCCTCTTGTGCTGCGAGTACCTCGGCCTCTCGTTCTTTGGCTTCACGTTCCGCGCGCTCTTGAGCCTCGTGTGCTGCGTATTCTTCAGCTTCTTGTGTCTCACGCTCCTTCGCCTCGAGCGCAGCACGCTCCCTTGCCTCACGCTTAGTCTTTGCTTTCGCTTCTTTTTCAGCCTTTCGAGTTGCCTCTTCTTCGGCAACCTCACGAGCTTTCTGAACGTCCTGCTCGGAGCCGTTCTGTTCTTGGACTTCGTGTTCACCTGGGGTCTTCTCCTCAACGACTTTCTTTTGTGCCGCCTTCTCTAGAGCGGCCCTTTCCTTTGCGGCCTTCTTCCGAGCTGCCTTCTTCTCCCTAGCTTCCTGCTCACGAGCTTCCTTCTTCTTACCCGCTACTAGCCGGGCAGCTTCCTGCGCAGCTGCGAGCTCTCGTGCAGCTTTCGCCGCTTCAGCTTTCTCTTTCGCAGCCTTCTCCTGCGCAGCCTTCTCTGCAGCTTCTCGCGCGAGCTTGGCCTGTTCTTCACGTTCTGCTTTCCGTCGCGCCGCCTCGGCTTTGCGCTCCTGTTTCTGTCGCTCGGCTTCCTGCTTACGTGCAAGCTCTTCCGCTACCCGCTTTGCGGCCTCCTCTTCCGCGTTGTGTGGTTGCTCTGCCTCATCTCCATTGGTTTGCTCCTCGTCCTGGTCTCGCTCGACCGAGTCGGATCCTTCCGGATCAGAGTGGCGTTTAGTCGTCTGAGGCTTCTTTCCGCCCTTGCCTTTTTTTCCCTTCCCCTTCTTTGGCGCCACGCCAGTGCCGTGAAAATTGAACGGGTGAATTGGGGATGACGCTTCGATCTTCTTCTTACAACCCCGGCAGGCAACAGCTCCGCCACTTGGACAGCGATAACTGTATTCCTGTACGTGAGCAGCGCAAAACAGGCAAGTTTGTCTCCCCTTCTTCCGTTCCCACCCTAGATCCATAACGGAGTCGTCGTCGGGACGTAACCCAGCCTTCCGGAGTTCAGAATCATAATCGCGTTGCAAGCTGATGACCCATAATTGCGCCATGGCGCGCTTCTTTTCTGGGTCGACGATACGTATACCATCATCTTCTGCTTGTCGAGCCGCAGCCGCCTTCTTTAGTCGCTCGATACATTGCTTGTTGATGTCTTCGATTGCCGATTTCCTGGCCCTCTCTTCAGCATTACGTCTAGCCGCAGCTTCGAAGTTCTCGCGCCGTCGGAGTAACTCTGCCAAGAGAATTTCCTCCGGGTCGTAGCTGTCAAAGCCTTCAAAGCCACCACCGAAGCGGCCACCTCCAAAGCTAGGGCCATAGCCGCCAGAGTAGTATTCGTAATCACTATCGTCGTCGTACTCGTACTCGTATTCGTCCTCGTAGAATGCCTCTGCCTCTGCCCACGCTTGCTCCTGCGCCGCCCGTCGCATGGCCGCCGCACGGCGATCCGATTCGGCCTGAGCACGTATCCTCTCTGCGGATTGCTTCTGCCGCCATGCATTCGGGTTCCGCATGTATTCGGCATGTTCCCTCCTGTAGGTGTCCCATTGTGTCCGTATACTGCTATAAGACTGATCATAGCGCGCTTTGCCTTTCGAATCCCTCAGGATGTCGTAGGCTTCTTGGATTCGTCGGAAGTCGGCTGCATCGACAGCTTCGCCTGGCGCCTTCTTGTCGGGATGGTGGAGGAGAGCGAGGCGGTGGAAGGCGGTCTTGATCTCGGCACTAGAGGCTGCTGGGCTCACTTCGAGGTCCGCGTACGCGTCTGGTAGCTTGGGCTTCGCGGGGCCCTCCATGGTTGAGATGGAGTTGGGATTGTCGTGGCTGTGGGGTGGGTGGGTGGTGCGGAACGGCCGTTATCGCGGAAAAGTTGAGCGTGTAGCCCTTTGGAAATGGGGTATAGGAACGAGTACCTGCAGCCTCACAGCGATTCATTGCTTTGAACGCTCGAAAGTTCTAGACAAACGCGTCGTAGCGTGGTGGCAGGGGCTGCACGGATGAAACGCGTTATCAGGTGCTCTTATCTCCGCACTGTCACTAGTGGAGAACATGTGGATCGGGCCTTCCCCACACGCGACTCCCAGACTTGCTTGTAGCACCAAAGCGAATGCATTACTACTTTTAACAGTATTCTCACATACCATGAGACGAGATAGCGCCCAGAGTGTGCCCTCACTCAACAGCCTTGACCTTACGATCACCCTCATCCCCATGCGCATACGCATAAGCATCAATACTATGTTTCGCAAACGCCCTCGCAGGCAGTCCCTCCGCAAACATGATATCCAATTCCTCATACGTCCTGCCCTTCGTCTCCGGAAGACGGAAAAACGTCCAAACGAAAAAGATCAACGCGCCTCCACCCCAGAAGAAGCCCGTCTTGCCCTTCCAATCACCCGCAGTGGGGTTCAACATATACGGATTAATAACGTTGGTGAGGATCTGCGCAATGTAGTAGCTGATGCGAGCCAGACACACACTCTTGCTGCGAAGACGCGTGGACGAGACTTCTCCGACGATGGCATAGCAGATGGGTCCGACGGTCATGTAGTACCAGAAGAGCCAGATGATCATCATAGCAGCTTGGGCGTAGTTGCCGCCGGACGAGTCGCCGGCGCCTACGCTGATGAATCCGACGATGAAGAGGATGGCTGCTAGACCACCGAGGCCCCAAAGGTAAAGCTTTCGACGGCCGATGTAGCTCATGAGGACCCAGGAGATTAGTGTGCCGACTGATGCCATGCCGAGACCGCCAACGGACATCTTGAAGGAGATTGAGGTTGAGACGCCTGCTTGGACGAAGAAATAAGTGGGTGTGCCGCCCATGACCGAGCCACAGATGGGCTGTGCGGCGAAAACCATGCATGCGATTTCCGTCCGACGGCGGTCGATGCCCTTGAAGCATTGAAGGTAGGATGTGTTTTTCTCAAGTGACTTCTCCAGTTCATTCGTGCGGACCATCATCGCGACCTTTTGCTTAGCCATATCACGTTGGGAGACAGACCCAAGACGGATAAGCATCTGCTCGGCCAGTTCGAGGTTGCCGGTACGAACGTGGTACCATGGGGACTCAGGTGCCATCCAGAGAATTGCAAAGAGTGGGATAGGCCATGCCCATTGAATGGCAAAGGGTATCCGGTATGCCCATTGTGTGTTGTTGCCTGAGAATGCCGACTGCACTCCAGCGGAGATGAGTTGCCCAAATGCCCAACAAAGGTTGACGTATACGGTGAGGTATCCTCGCAGAGCTAGCGGGCACACCTCACTGGCGTAGGCAGGCGCCATGGTCGCAAAGACACCCCAGGGTATACCGCAGAGGAACTGACCGACGAGGAGTACGGGGGCGTTAGGCGCGAAGAAAGAGATGAAGATCAGCGCGCAGATAGAGGCAAGCGATACCAGCAAGACGGGACGGTAACCGAATCGATGAATAAAGTACCCATTCGCAAACGCGCCGATGATAGTGCCCACGCTCACAGCATTGCTGAGTCCGTTCTGCCACGATGCCGTTATCTCATACGTCTGAGTGCCTTGATTGAACTCTCCATATTTGCGCGAGAAGGACGGCTGCGCGAAGAAGGAGCTCATCAAGACGATGTCGTATCCTTCCATGATGATGCAGGTGGATAGCAATACCGACCAGAGCACAGCTTTGGGGTATTTGCGGATGGCTTGCATCAACGTCATCTCGTGTTCCTCGTCGGCAGCCGCTTTGGCCTGGTCGAAGGTAACCTCATGGTGTTCCATGGTCGCGGCCTTTTCGTCCACGTCTGCCATGATGGGTCGGATTGGATCGGTGCGTGCACCAGGTATGTAGAAGAAAGAAGAAGACAACGGACCAAAGAGTCCGGATACAGATCTCGGGAGCTGTTGGTTGTGGTCGAGTATGTGGATCTACGGACATGGCCACGGTATATACATAGTCGGTCATCCTGCACCAAGCCGCTCGATCATCCATGCATGGAACATGGCTGCTACCCCAGGTTTTCTCCACCGGAACACATCTACCCCATGGGGTGCATGCCAGGCTTGGCCTGTTCCTGCAAAGGCCAAACTCCGGTGGAGATGTTCCTAGACGCGGCATTTTCCAGGAAGACGCGTGCGGGGCGTGACCACTCTACCGGTAGCGTGGATCCTTCACTAAGGCCCCCGATGGAGAAGCGCCGTGAGGCTCCGGCGTCTATTGTGCCGAAGAATACGAGAACTTGGCCGTTGCCAGTCATGGTACTACCGTGATCATAGGCTTGCTAGCATGACCGAGGTATTGTGAGGGCGGGTGACACGCTAAGCGGAAGCTGTAGGGAACCTGTTTCCAGGATCTACTCTTCCGATTAGATGAGATGTGGTGAAAGCTTAAGGTCGGAGACGTTGCATGATACAGACTGCATGACATTCATATTATCGCTCTTTCGTGAGAAGTCGAAGCAGGTTAATATAAGACCGCTCGATGCCCCATGTGTGACCCGCGTCTCGCGCAGAAGACGGTGAATTGGCGTCTGGACTTGATGAAATCCCAGAGCTTTTAGCTAGGATTGAGATCCCTTCTTTGGCAATCCGCACCGGAGCTGCTTCATGCTCTAGACTGCCGACATTGGCAATGTATGCGGACATCTTGTGCCCCATGCGCACATACGTCTGTACTAGCTCATCGTCCAATGGTCGGTCAAGATGGAGGAACGATGGTTCTGGTTCCTCATCTGACTCAGAGCCAATGGCTTCAATGGCTTCGGGAAGATGCATGCAGACGCAGAAGGCCCAAAGTATGAGTGTCGCAATGTAAATCGCATATGGCTCGAACAGGCTGCTACAACTGTACCTGCGAACGTGCCAGAAAAGGGCCCCACAGTGCACCAGACACAGTCTAGCTTTGCAGTGATCTCGAATCACCCATTGTAGGACCTGAATTCGCGCCGTCGCGAATGACTGTCCGCCTTCCGCATCGACTAGCGCGTCTTCGTTGGATGCAGATCCCGATACGAACCGCTGTATGGCGCTAGTGGGCGCAAGTATGATCAGGCGAGCTAGATGCAGCTGGAGGATAGTGTGGTGCTCGAAGCCTGAGTGGCGTGCGACCTTACTATTCGCGGGCCAATGCAGGACATCCAAGCTATCACAGGCGCTGTTACGCCACTTGATGGAAGACCGCGTTGTCGGCGACCAGTCTTGTTGTGTAGGTGGTGGCATATCGTTACGTCGCTGTGGCGTAGATGTTGGTGTCCATGAGTTGAGACGAATGCGATCTCGGGCCACAACATCTCGGGTATGGCGATAGATGGCACTGACAAGTAAGCCCATGCTGAACTCTCCTAGATCGACGGGTAGCCGCTTTTCCACGTAGATCATCTCTAGTGCTTCCATAAAGGTAACACTTGTAAGACGCCTTTGGTTCTGTCGAATTAAGCCTGGTTGGTCCCATACATCCTCGTGACATGGCAACAATACGTCAATATCGTCGAACTGGATGAGAGGCTTGGCCTGAAACTGATACACGAACATCGTATCGAGTGTCTGCTGCAGTCAGCTACGCATCTTTCGATAACAATAAGAACAAATTACCCAAACCATCATCCCAGTACGAACCATTGCCTCTCTGAACAGCCATTCACGAAAGTCGGGGTTTTGCTCAGGATCAGCCGTCCTTGTCAGATCGTAAGACTTCTTCGTTTGAACAAGTAGACGGAGTGTATGGCAGCCCTCTACTAGATAGTGTCGTTCTACATGGGCACGTTCTACCAGCATTTTCTTACCCGAATGCAGCATGCAAGCGATATTCAGGATACCAGCTTGTAGAATCCGTAGATCTGGGTGGGCAACGAACCGGGAACAGCTCGGGCTGTAATCGACATCCTCGTTACCTGCCGAACCTTGTGGGCCTATTCCATACTTGCTTCGGGTGAGAATAGTACTCAGCAGACCAAATAGAGATTCGCTTGTTTGGGAATGCTGCGATAGCCGTGAGTACTTTGAGCCGATAACAAAAACGGCGATCAGCAAGAGCCAGCTCCTGAAAGCGTCTTGGGCGAAGGAAGACGGCCGCAGGAAGGGGAAGACTGGGTGGAAATGGTCAAAGTACTGGCGAACAGAGATGACGACTTGCTCATATGTGGGAAAGTTCGAATCGCTCAAATCGACTGGGCTATCGCGGCTTTCAGCAGCAATACCTTCCAGCAGAGATTGATAGGCTGCTGGTGGACATAATTTGTCTTCGTCAGAGGTACCAAGTGATGCAGAAGCATCATTATCTTCCGCATCTTGCAAGTCGATGGTTTCTTCTGAGCAAATCGAGTGTTGCGATCTGCCACCGAACGGGGCTCTGGCACCTGCCCCATCAACGTAGTATCTGTTTTCCGACGTCGATGTAGATATTACGGAGGCAGTATCCTTTGACTGCTGGTCTGTATCAGGTATGATCCTATTTGGATCTGATGAGTGTGATGTTGTGGTGATCGCAGGTATTGAGGGCGTTGTTGGCGCGATGGAACAAGTCCATTGCTCCACGGTGCCATTAGCTTGGCCTCCGAAGTTTGCGAGTAGTGCATCCAGGTCAATGGGGCCTGAGTATTGGGGCGATAACCAGTTCACGTCTGACAGATTTAAACCAGGCATGCCGAATGGGTCAGAAGCGAGCAAGTTGTTGTCGACGTTGCTATTCCACGCCCATGCATTGACAGAGGACTGTCCTATTGCATCGTTGAAGTCCGCTGTTCTGAACTCGTCATTGCTGTCTCGATTGACATTGTTCGGATGCAGATCTCCAGTACTGAAGGCGTCGGTGGACTCATTCGCGCCAGCATCC